AAGTATCCACTTTGATTTCAAATGAGATGCACATCAAACAAACAAGTGAGGCTCAACCTCTATCATACTCAATTCGAGAGGCAAAGCATGCATGCTAATAAAATGCAACCTAGGCATGTTAACTAAGTATGCAACATGGGCATGCAATGCACAATGATACTAGGCATACAACCTATGCAAGCAAGCATGCAAGGCATGAGACAATGCAAACCAACAAGTGTGCAAGATGCAATGTGGATGTTCAAGCATGCAACAACACATGGAGCAAACATGTTAAACAACCTAAACATGTAACAACACACAAGTATGCAACAACACGCAAGGTGAGCATGCAATAACATGCGAATAATGGACTTAAACTAATTTGGGCACCTCTATACTAAGCCCAAAACAGTGGCCAATTGTTAAGAGAATGAGGACCAAATAACACGCAAGCATGCATGCACACAAGGGCCAACACTTAGGCATTGAAGAGAAACTCTCAAGCACACTTAAGAGGATGAAAACATGGAAAAATGGCATGCATTATAAGCTCTGAAAATCAAGTCATGAAAGGTGCCAAATCAACTAGATAAAACAAACAAGGCATGCAAGCAAAGCCAAAATTCAAGGCGAGCCAAAGGTGTATTGAACTACACTTAGCAAAGTCAAACATGACATGGATTAAGCAACCAAAATCAGAGTTTTAGCATATTAAGACAAAGCTAATAACACATCTAGATGGCATCTAAATGGCTTAAACATGCAAGCATGCGCAAGGGCCTAAACAAGGGGCATAAGACAACAACCTTTTAACACATTAAAGGGGCATCAAATGCAAGCGTGCAAGCATGTCATGAAGACTGAAATGACATGTTAAACGGTTCCAAACCACTAGAATAATGCAAGTAATGCATGCTCATGGTTAATACACTTGAGGCTTACGAGCCAAGAATGCAAAGAGGCTAAACAAAGCATGACAAGCATGGCTAAGACAGCCTACATCAGACCTTAAGCATGGCAAAACAAGCCTAAAAGCTTTACAAAGCTTGGCCAAAACAAGCAAGCATGGCAATCTACATGCTAAGTACATGTTAAGGCAAATGATGACATTACAAGGCATGTATGCTAAACAAGCATGGTGTGCCTAAACCAACATAAAATGGTGCTATAACATGGCAAAATAACACTAAATAACAGCTAAGATATGGCCAACATGAACCTAAATAAGATGCTCACTCAAGAGGCTAAAACAGCCCTTTTCAAGGACAACAAGGAGAGGGGGTGGCCCTCTCCTTCTTAGGACCTCAAGGCACCATCCTCACCACTGAAATCCCTCAAGATTTCAGTGGTGAGGAGGCCCAAACAAGGTGGTCCTGGAGCCCAACCAAAATGGCACAAAATGGGGCCAAACAAGCCCTAAGAGGGGTCAAACAATCCCAAAGCTCAAAAACTCTTAAACAACTATTTAGAGCAGGCAAAAACAAGACTTTTATATGTTATACACAAAGTCTAAAAATAGTTGCAAGATAGGTGAAAAAGCTATGCAAAAATGGGAAAAAAAGGGTAAGATTGTTACCCTTGTAGACCCTCTTCAAAAATGAAAAACCAGCAGCTTCCTTAGGTTCAAACCAGTCCAAAACCTCCAAGAACAAGCCCCTTATGCCTCAGCAACTAAGGTATGGTGTAATGGTAAGTGTTTGTGTGCAAAACTAAGACTAAACACACACAAAACACTCAAGAGATGGAGAGATATAGAGATAGAGTATGAACAAACCCTAACCCTAAAACTCAAAGCTCTGAAAAATTTTGTAACCCTAATGGAGGGAGAAGAGGCTCCCTCTTATAGACAATCCCTCTTGTAAAGCTTTCCAAACAGGCTAGTCAAGAGGGAGATCCCTCCATATACGTGTGTGGAGGGGAGTAAAGTGTATGCCAGCTAGTACAGCTGGCATAAAAATATCTGCAAAAGCAGATGAATAGTGATCGGCCAGCCAAAAATGTAATTTGACCAAAATAGATGGTCGGTCGACCATCTAGAGTGCCAGTCGGCCAAACATTTGGCCGATGGCAACAAAACACAACAGGTGGCCTCAAGCCATGGCCGGTGGAGTGTGGGGATGACCAACAAGCCATTCCCTGCCCTCCAAAGTAAAAACACAAGTGTTTGGAGCAAAACCAAACACAAAACAGTCGAGTCGAGAGATCCTGAGGCAAGGCGCGTAGCCGAGACCTCCGGGAACTCAAGACGAACACAAACATGGATGATCGTCGAGTGTTCAAACGGTGACGTCCAAGTCTTGAGGACGGTCAAAAATGGGGTGTCTACACGCATACATGAGCATTTCTCGTTTCTCGAGGCAGAATAGTTAGAGTAGTTAGCTTATTACTTCTCCATATTGTATTCATGTTGTAATTAGTTAATTTGTAATTTATTAGTTAGTTCTAATTTGTTAAATAGTTAATTAGCTAGAATAGTTAATTAATTTGTTGTTGTAATAATTAGTTAAGTAGCTTAGCTAATTTATTCATTTCGTTTTGTAATAGTTAGTTAATTCGTAGTAATTAGCTTAGCTAGTTAGTTTATTCAGACCCTCCTGCGTGAGGGCGCAAACTTGTAATAACGTGTATGTCTTCTAACTCCACGTTTTTCTTCTTTTTATTTATTTGCTTATGATGGTTAGTTTATGTAATAGTTAGTTAATTTGTAGTAATTAGCTTAGCTAGTTAGTTTATTCGAACCCTCCTGCGTGAGGGCGTAAACTTGTAATAACGCGTATGTCTTCTAACTCCACGTCTTTCTTCCTTTTATTTATTTGCTTGTGATGGTTAGTTTATGACATCGTGTCTTGTTTAGCATACTTCATGCCTTGCATCCATCATCTTGCATGTGTTAGGCTCGGCACATCATTCTAACTTGTATTATTAGTTAAATACTTCTTTGAATACGTACTTAGACTGCATGCTATCAAATTACTTCATATGCTATCTTAGTAGCCGAGCCTGGTAATTGCATATCGCATGTGTTGCATTAGTCATATTGCATAGTTAGGATTATGTATTATTCTAACTCTGTCATCTTGTTTGGCTTGGAGTACTAGGTGAGATTTTATTTGTTTTAGCATATTGTATTGTATGTTAGTATTGCCATGTAAAGCATGTTCACCATAAGGTTAAGTTCTTAAGTGCTATAGCTCTTGAATGCTTGTGGATGAAGGCTAATTACTTGAATTGGAATAATTTGAGTAATGTTTATATGTGATCACTTTTTCAAGTGGTACATATTCGAAACAATTTTCAAAACAAAACATGAGATCAAGTGTTCCAATTCTTACAAATTAGTCTATACTTGTGTGTGTGCATCACATAGTATTGCTAGTCTAATAACTGAATAAGAGCATATAATGTAAATAAGATTCATATCATGATTAGTAGAGGCCGATCTTTGATCGGGCAAACATGGGTGCCCAATTCATGACCTTCTTCTCTCGTACCTAAGTTCCCAAGCTGAAACAATCTTGGCGATGACGGACACGTGGCCTTTGGCACGAGTCATGAGTTTCCTAATTTGCCAAAAATATTTTGGTGGCGACTCTGTATCTAGCAAAGCAGTCCATTTTTTGTAATTTGATTCAAAATCGATTTTTCAAAAAGATTTGCTAGATTTGGACTCTTTGGTGTTTATTTATTTCACATTACACTTGTAAGATCAGATTCAGAACCGCGAAAATTCAATACTTTAGGGCTTATTCATCTTCCGAAAGGGGTCACGAAAAGTCGAGCTACACATCTATTAACCGAATCAGGTTAGGGGACCAAATTAAAAAATATTTATATTTTTTAATGTTAGAGACTAAACAGATACAATTTTAATGTTGAGGATCAAAATGAGACAAATCTCATAATTTAGGGACTAAGGGGGCGTTCGGCAATTGATTTTTTTAGTCAAACAGTGAAGCCAAAAATTTATAGAAAAAATTATAGATTCATTTTTATTTTTTCTACTTTTGCACTTTTTTTTTTGTTGTTGTAAAAAATTAAAAAGTGATTCACAAATAATTGAATTTAGTTTAATTTTATATTTTAATTAAAAATTTCTTTCCAAATGAACTTTAAATATATAATTAATCTTAATTTATTTTTAAAAAATAAATATTATAAAATTATGTGATTATCGTATTAATTTGATTATAGGAGTGGTACGTGGGTGGCCGGGGGCCCAAACTATACGTCCCCGGTGAGTGTAGGAATATAATGACATTAATTAGTGTATATGAGTTAAAAGTTTGAGCAAATTATATTGATAATCCTTTTATTTTGTCTCTTGTATTATTTTGATATTTATAATTTTAATTATTTTAATTTTAGTCCTTAATTTTAAATTTTATATCAATTTGATTCAATTGATAATGCCGATTAGAGTATTTCAAAGAAAATGGTCACTAAATTAGTTAAAGTTAACTCACTAAATTGAATAAATTTATAATTTTGCCTACATAACACATGCCGATTATGTGCATATTTCCCATCACAAAACACTAACAATTGTAATCAATTAGACCAAATTGAGACAAAAATCATAAATTCAATATTAAAATCGAGTCAATTGAGGTTGTAGGACCAAAATGATACATGAGCCAAAATATTGGGATTGTCGGTACAATTTGCCTACATTTTTTTGTGAAATTCCACTAACAAGAAAAAAGTAAGGATTTCACAAATAATATGATTTTATAGGCTTTTTATTTTTGTTATTGATGTTTGTTGCTTCATGCACTAGGTACCGATAATTAACCCCTCCAATGAAGTCATTGATCACATTAGCACACTACCAAAAAAATAAAAATAAAAAAATTCATAAAAATAAATAACCAAAACAAAAAAAAATCCTGCCGAGAGGTGGGTGCAGTGGCGGGAAAAAAAAAATGTGGGATGATAATAAATTAGCTAATATGGTCCAAAAATAGGTGGCTAGGTTTTAAATATCGTATATATTATTTATTATATATTGAGATTTTAAATTTTTGATATCATTATTTATTAATATTTCAATTATTAGTGTCCAATATGTGACATATATAGCTCATACCGATACACATTCTAATACTGTTGTCATATGGCCTCATATATAGAAGTTATTTTTAAGGGGCAATTGGGCCATGCTGTGTGACCTGCAACTCATGTGCTTGACAAAAGAGGCTCCTCTTCCTTGTTGTCTGCCCATTTATCCAATCGATCCCTTGATTTCTCCACCTGAAAATTCCCAAATTCAGAATTTTCTAGCCCATGATTTCGACATGTTATTCATTTAGATTGTATTTTGATCATAAATTTAGTAGGGATTTCATTTCTCTTTCTAAATTGCTATCTAAATCTATGATTCAAACAAAATCCGAGTTACTTGTTATTAAAAAAAAAAAAAATGAAGGGCAAATTACACACTAATAATCAATGCATTTTTTCCATTGTGCTATTTTGGTCCACACACTTTAAATTAACTTGATTTAGACATTTTATTTTAGATTTTACGTTAATTTGGTCTATTTATTTTATTTTATTTTTTATCTCAATAACTGGCCCATTGGACCAACTAATACAATGGACCAATCCCACCGTTTACTAGCAGGGGGCCAATTAAATCAGGGGAATTTGGTCCAATTGCTATATTTGGTTAGCGTTTTTGACTAAAAATCATTGAATTGAATGAAATTAACTCACTGAATTGAGTAAGTTCAGAATTTTATCCTTAAAAGTAAGACATTTGCTTACTTATATGCACATTATTTAGAAATAACGCTAGCGGGAGCAATAAAAAATTGATACAAAATCAAAAATTTGTGGTCCAAATCAAATTGATACAAAATCAAAAATTTATAGTCAAAATCAAATCAATTGAAATTACCGGGATTAAAATGACATAAATGTTAAATTATAGAAACTGTCAACATAATTTGGCCAAAAAAAAAAAAAAAAGGTATGAACTTTTCTTGACATTTGTTTTAAAGGCAAATTTTAGGGAGAGTGGGTGTAATTTACTCATAAATATTGTGACAGATTGACAAATTTCTGAATTTTAAACAGTAGGAAAACATGGGTTTTAGGAGAAAAGTCAATTGCACAATCAAAGAACAGTGTAAAGTGTAATATAGTTGACTACTACCAATTTTATAAGTATAGTTTAATTCATAAGTGTTGTTTGTTTGTAAAGTAGCGCATATGCTGTGCATTGTTACTATGCAATGTGTGCTTGAAGCTATAACTTAATTACGTAAGATCTTAATTCACCGAGTCATTATCGGATCCTCTCCTTAATTTCTCTCTTTGGCTCTCTGCTTATTAAATCATTGGGTCTACTTTTGGGCTCAATTTCGATAATCTGAACCGTTCACATTTTAAAATTTGTTGAGTATATTATACTTATAAAAAATCAAGTTGATCAAATATCAGAAAATATGTATTCGGAAAACTGTAGATTAAACTTTTTAAAAAATATTTTTAGTTCGATGATCCGAACACGTAGTTTCTGATATTCAATCAATTTGATTTTTTACAGGTATGATATACTCAACAAATCTTAAAATGTGAATGGTTCGGATTATTAAAATTGGGCCCAAAAGTGGACCCAATGACCCAACAAGTAAGGAATTAAGGAGAGAGATCAAGGAGAGGATCTTGATTGGTCCAAGTATATCTAGTATTGAGAGTTTTGTTATCATTGGCTGGTTTCTTGTTATTTGTTCAACAAATCTGCATGTTTGATGCATCACATTGTGTGTAAGAAATTTGTCTTCACCTAATTAATGCCTATTCATGCTTTCCATTATTTCTTGTAATGTTTTATTGTAATGTCTTCACCTAATTAATCCCCCTTTAGCAGTGGTCTTTATGACGTGTCTTTCTATCTGACTCTTTTTCATTCATCAATAAAGAAAATGCAAACTTATCATAAAAATTATATACAAGTTCACTTTTTAGACCCACTTTATAGACTTAATGATGTGTAAGTGAGATGATTGGTTGATAATTTGAGAAGATATAAAAGAGAGAAATAACGAATGAGAGTGCAAGTCTAACATGGATTAGAAAATAGTAGCATTCATCAAATCTTACCTCTCTATCCCAATTGGTCCGAAAAGTTACCCATATTAAAATAATAGTTTGAATCAAGGTGCCCGTTATCATCCCTGACCATATTCCCTGCATTAAACCACAACCTTACCCATAATATACTCACTATGTATATGCTATGATCATTTTGCTAATATTGCATGCATATATGTGAAAGAAACTTTTAATCCATGCTTGTATTGTATGTTTTATAAAGAGTGATTGGTGCACCAATGAATGCATATTAGTTGTTCACTCAAATATTGAGAAAAACTCCTCTTTTCCCTTCTAATGTTTCACTTTCATTAATAAATGGTATTTCTTTTTCTGAGCAATATATATACAAGAACAACTTGTAATTCAAAAGATAGGAAAATCAAATACTTATGGATTACATTCATTTGAGGTTTAGATGGAAAAGATAGTAGTAAATGTGTAGCATGCTAAACCTTTTTAATCTTGGAATAGTTTTTGTTATTTTGTTGCATCTTAAACTTCCGTTTTCTAACACAAAAAATGATATACCTTAGCACCAAGATTGAATTTGAAGCCGAGTAGTGCACCTAGTGGAATACCAACCACGTAATAACATCCAACGTTTACGTACGCAACAAATGCTTGCCATCCACACCCAACAGCAACCCCTTCAATCATTTTACATTGAAAACACATATTTTATCATCTATCATCATAATTTCAACATGAGAGAGAGAGAGAGAGAGAGAGATGTCTAACAACTAGCCTATGCCAATTTGTTAGAATGTTAGGTTTCTTTCCTTTTTTCATTTTTTTTTTTCAAAGAGCACAAGACAAGAATGTTATTGTTAAAAGTCATATTGCAAACTACTCTTTCTCAATAAATTTGTGAAAGTTATATTTTAAGGCACCAGGATCGTCATTGGGAAAATATTATTTCAACGAAAGTCAGAAAAAAATATTTACATATTAATGAGAAATTTTACTACATTCAAAGTTAAACTCATAGTTTTTTTTTTTATCAAATTAATATTTATTTTTGAAATTACCACTGATTTGTGATATTTGCCCCATCTTCATATTAAGCATTATATGCATTACTTGAAAGTCTATTATTTTCCCCTTCTTTGGAAGTAAGTGGAAAAGCATTGTCTAATTATATAATGGTTTAGCAAGTTGTCTGATCAAGATGCTAGTAGTCGTTTTAATTCATCATTATATTGAATAGAATAAGGGTATAAAATGAATGAGACATTTTTATGCATCTAAATCATAATTCCTTTGGACTTTTTTTTTTATTATTTTTAATGTATAATTATTATTATGTTTTACATAAAATAATATCCTATTGATGTGGCAGCAATATATTCTTATCATGACCGATAAGAGTTGGTATTATGATTTGAAATAATAATAATAAAACATAAAGGACATCATTTTATGTAAAATTTTTGTATAAAAGTCTCATTTATTTAAATTAATCTAATCTATAAAATAAAACAAAGGTTAGAGAAACAAAATACTTATAATGATTTCAAGAGCAAGGGTCATTAGTGATAAAAAAAGAAAAAATTATACTAATATCCTCTAAAGTTTATGACAATTACAAAAAAAATAAAATTAATATTTTTTTGAAATACCACTGTCGTCCCCAATCAGTGTTGTCAATTGAATGTAGTTAATAGAGAAATGATTTTTACATTTTTGCCCCTACAACTATATGTGATCACTCCACCCTTTCGCATGTACCCTTCTCACTTTGATCTTTCTTTTTTCTTTTCTCTTTTCTCCTTTTTCCTACTCTACAATCGACACCTTTGTGAAGAATTGGTAGAAATTGAAGAAAACATATAAAGGGAAAAATATAGTGATAGTTGAAATCGAAGAAACAGAGAAGAAAAAAAAATAGTAAAAATTATTGGAGGACAAACAGAAAAGATGAAAAGATGGTGGTTAATTATGATCGCCAGAACAGGGGACAAAGAGGAAAGAGGCGGCAGAGTTGGAGGCGAATGATGATTTATTGTTTAGATAGTGATGATTTATTGTTTAGATGGTGATGATTTACAATGTGAGTGGCAGTAGTGGTGGTAAAAGTAATCAAGGGTGATGGTGGTAAGGTGAGGTGAGGTGAGATGAGGGAGGAAGGAAGGAAGGAGGGGAGGCAAGTAAAGTGGGATGGAGTGGGATATGGTGGTTGTTAATTTGAATTCAATCATTGATTAGTACATATGATTGAGTTAAGAAAAGGATAAATGTTAGCACCAGCACTACTTATGAAACTTGACCCAATTGTCAGTTTTATCATGAACAAGTGTCGTCACATGATCATCATCATATTAGTCAACTTTTGTTAGCCAGTGTTTCATTAAATCCACTAGTTATTGCCTTTTACTCAATCAAACAAAATTATAAAAGAATAAAAATAAAGAAAAGGTGAATATAAATTATAAAAAAATAAAAATAAACAAGAAGTGAAAAACGTAATTAACTTGAATTCAATCATTGATTAGTACATATGATTGAGTTAAGAAAAGGATAAAGGTTAGCACCAGCACTACTTATGAAACTTGACCCAATTGTCAGTTTTATCATGAACAAGTGTCGTCACATGATTATTATCATGTTAGTCACTTGTGTTAGTCAGCGTTTCATTAAATCCACTAAGTAATTATTGTCTTTTAATCAATGAAGCAAAAAAATAATCATGTCATGGCCGGATTTAGATGAATGATTATTTAATAATTTTGAAATATTATTTCATATCATTTGTCACTTATTATTTGTTATGATGTTTTCTAAAATTTCAATAAAAAATATTGGGTCTCACTCTTTCAATTAATAATTATTATGTTGGGGCACATGAAATTATTTCAGAAGCAAAAAATAATTTCTCGATTTAGATGTGTTGGGTCTGGCCAATATTATGTAATTATATTTTTAAGTTGAGTCCTTTTAGTATGACTAATTATTTTATTTTCAAGTAAGTTAAAAAAAAATAAAAAATTCTAAGAGCACCCACATGTTCTGGATATTAATTAATATAATATATTTTTTAATTAATTTAATCAATTAGAATGCTCTTTAACCAATACAAGGTTAGTTGTTTAATATTTATAACTAATTCTTTATGTAACTACTATTACATAATTTATACTCATAAAAAATAAAGTTAAAGAATGGTTAGTTACATAAATCACTCTTTCCAAATCTGGTCCATCATAATTCTAAATCCTATAAATTATGGACCGATTTATCCACCACTAGTACCATTATATTGGAAAGAGGACAACAACAAATTGTAAAACAAGGTCCACGTTGTTTCTAGTTTAATTCGATTAGAGGGTCTAGTTTCATGACTGTCGGTTTACTCCAAGTTTATTTTTTTATTCAAATTGTTCAATTTGTAAAGATCAAGAAAATCATTTACAAAAAAATTAAGTTGATTGAACATTTATACCTACTGATCGGATCACATTTCTTTTGAAAAAAATAGATGACAAGTATGATTTCAAAATTAGACCATGTATTTTTTTCAAACACATAAACTAATCATATTGTACCAATTTTATATCAATTTGAATTTTTGTATGAATAAATTGTTCGATAATCCTTACAAATTGAACAGTTCAAATCAATAAGATAAATCCAAGATTAGGCCTACAATCATGAAACTGGACTCTTATGTTTAATTGTGGCTCGAGACAATCTGAGTTCTCCTAAAAATTCGAAGAAAAATGTTAAGCATCCTAAAACTTTTGTCGAATTTTATTCTGAAAATAAAATGTTATAAATTTAAATTAATAGAATGTAGGTCAAAATGAAAATGATTATAGTATTAAAATTAGAAAGATCCAAAACTACGCAATAAAATAACAAATATACATACATGTGTATATATATATATATTTGTAAGGTGACAAAACTTGTTGGCCCAAAAAAATAGAATTAGACTTGCAAGAGAGAATTAAAGAAGCCAACTTCAATATTTGCCTATAAAACTTGAATAATAAATAATAAAAAAAAATTACTTACCAGACAAAACAGGTTGAACACCATTGAGTATGATGGCAACTGCCAAGAAGGGTGCAAGTTCGGAGACTGCTTCTTCAACTGTGGCGCCGCTAGTGAAGGCATAACTAATGACATGGCGTAATATGAGCACTACGATGGCCAATATTACAGCGATGAAAAATGAGCATAAGGTTACAATTATAACCGCGAAAGAGGCTGATTTTGGATGTCCTGCTCCAAGTTCGTTACTCACCCTCACACTATAAAAATTAAAATAAATTTTATTCTCAATAAAATCCTTGGAGATAATACCATCTTGTTTTGTGATATTAATTTTACATGTATCTACACATGTTTATAATAATGTCATCATGGTCAATTTGAATTTAGAGTTTATTAATGGGAGTGGCATCCATGCTACAAAATTTTTTTAAACATACTTTGGTAAAAATAAAAATAAAAATTGTACCTACCTAAACTTATCATTTTTATTTGAAGACTATGGTGATGCAATTGCCGTTGACATAATTGAAATATTGAGAGTTAAAATGGTATAATACACACAATTTAACCACCAATGATTTAAAAAAAAAATTGCAAATAAGTGGAACACTCATAAAATAATTGCACTACAGATGAAATATTTTTTGATACAATTTTAACACACAAAAAGACTTACACTAAACACAAAAATAAACTTGCATCATATACATAGAAAATTTGCTCCACTATAAAAATGAAATTATTTTTCCATTGCTTATGAAATGCAATTTTTCAACAGTTTAATGAAAAAATTGATAATTTTAAATATTTTAAGAAGATATTACTGATTTACAATTTTTCATAATTTAATTACCCCTATGAGTTAAAAAAATACATACCTGGCAGCTGCATTGAACCCCACAGCAATCATGTACACCCATCCAGATATAGTCATGCTGCATGTGATATGATATCTCTTAGCTTGTTTAAAACAGTGTTTTTTTAGATAGTAGCTTGTTTACAACATTAGTCTATGTTTTTTGACACAAACTCAGTTGGCTTTGTTTGTACCTTACACCTATGGTAAAAGGCTATAGGAGAAATTATTTTTAAAAAAAAATTAAAACTAAAATTTGATTCTTGTAGTAAAATAAATTTTGAATTTAATTAATTTTAATCTTTTGATTTATTTTTAATCTAAATCATTAACTTATTTCCGTTAAATAAAGAAGACAGAAAAATAATATTTTAGTCATTAAATTCAATGTAGGTATACATAAAACGTCTAAAAAATTATTTTTTTTGTCCGGTTTAATTAATGGAAATAATCAAAGGATTTAGATATTTAGGGTTTAAATTGATAAAATTAAAAATTTAAGATTTATTTTGTTACAAGAATTAATCTTGATTTTTTAATGTAATTTTTCTAATATATATATATATATATAATGCATATTCACTAAGAGTGAACAATACAAATACACATACAATACAGCCACCCCTTAATTAATAAAGTTAATTTCTATATATTCTTATCACTACAACATATAAGAGTTTTAAAAACGAAATCTTTTAGTTTTTAAAAGTAAAAATTTTGTTACAAAAGACATTTAAGAACCAATTTTTATTGTTTTGAGGATAATCGCTAAAAGGTCATTCCAAAAAGTCAAAAACAAGACTTTTAGAGACAAAATTTTGAAAATGTCACTAATTAATAAACTTTTAGGGACAAAATAATTTGGTCTCAAAATAATTTATTTTTTGAGACAAAAAATTTGCTCCCAAAAGGATAATAATTCATTACTAATGTCTAATTTTTATTACTAAAAATTTAATAACGACATTTTTTGTAACAAAAATATTTGACCTTTAAACAATAATTTTGTCCCTAAATTTTAGTTTCTAAAACCTTAATTTTTTGTAGTACGTCGAAGGCAATTGACAAAAATCAGCACCAGATGCAAAATATTATATGAAGAATGAGTAATGACAGTATAAAGAGAATATTCATAGAGAATCTCCATAGAAAATGATATGAGTTAATACTATAAAATATATTTTATCTATCTATGTTTAGGGGGTGTTCGTAGATCGGGTTGGGTTGGGTGGCTTCTCATTCGTCATCCGTCTGAATTTAGGCAAAATAAAAAAAAATCTGTATCCGTCTGCTTAATTAGCGGATGCGAATTGAGCGGGTCGTACGTGTTGACAGATAAATATGGATTGATTTGGAGGTTTAGAATTTACTATTTTAAATCTTTTTTGGAACTATTTTAGAGTAATTTTTTTTTATTATTTTGGACCTTATTTGGGTCCAAATTTTCCTGTTCTTTATTTTTGTCAACTTTCATATTTCATAAATAATTAATATTATTACTAAATAAAAAGTCTTCCATTTAACATGCAAAGTATAAAAGCATAACGTCATTTTTTAGAATGGATTGGTGGATCGGGTTGGATTAGATGGTAGGTGGAGTGGTGATTTATTATTTACAATTTACATTAACACATCCCATCCACCATACATCTGAACATAAGCAGATATAAAAAATCTTAGATTAGATTGAACGATTTCAACGGGTCTACCTCGGTCTGGGAGAACCACTAGCGAACAGATTTTTTTTAGGACAAAATAAAAACTTCATTGAAAGATTATGAAAAAGCATACATAATTCAATTTACGTACCCCGCCAGAGAATTGACACATCGAACGTTAGTTGAGGATAGGGCCTCAAGGTCCCCACCACAAAACACACACTTCAATGGGTACAGATATATATACCATATACTTTTGTCGCGAACTCCTTTGAACTATCTACTTATACCAAATCAAGATGTAAGAAATTTAAGTGTTCGAGGAATTTGATAATTGTTTTTTTTATTAAGTAATTGAAATATTTGATTATCTTGAGTAAAAGGTAAGATTTGTTCCACAATTTTGATTTTACAGATTTGTTTGAGTTGAAAATTTTTATCATATAATTGATCCACATCTTTTTTAGGCTTTTTCAACTGGCTAATTTCTCTTTTATCTATTCAATTTCTATATCACTTTAGTTTATAACTACAGATTTTTTAGAGAAACATTCACCAAATACTAAGTTAGAGAATGACTTAAATATTCTTACTGTAATAGATAATTGTAGCTGTCAATAGTTAATTCTGCTTAAGTTCCGTTGATCTGCAACGGCTTCCTGCCTAATTAAGCTTTGTAACAACTTACATTGTCGATTTATATTAATTTATTTTTTATTTTATATTTAATTTAATATTAACAATTCTTTGACTTACCTACCCAGCCAGAGAATTGGCACATCGAAAGTTAGTTGTGGAGAGACGGCGTCAAGGTCGCTATCATAAAACACACACTTCAACGGGTACAGATATATATACTATATACTTTTGTCGCGAACTCCTTTGAACTTTGTTTTTGTTTTTGTTTTTTTTTTGGCTGGGAATGGTAGTGATTGGACTTGATTCATGAAAGGGATTAGCATGATCCGACAACTCCCACATTACACTTTTTATTGTCATATAAATGACAAAATCGTATTTGGGTAAACTGTGTTTAGTATTTTTCTATTTTATTAAAATTTTATTTAAATATTTTTATTTATAATTGTAACAATTAATTTTTTATATTTTAAAATCAAGTTTCAATCACATCTTTTCATCAATTTACTGTTAGTAATGCTAACATAAATTCAAAATGAAGAGACTAAAGTGAGATTTTGATAAAAATATAAGGGTGCTAATGCGATAACAAAAATTTCATATATACTTCAAATGACAAATTTCTTTAATTTTGTTAATAGTAGATGGAAAGAAGAGTGAAATTTTAACTTGACTTAAAGTGTAGAGATTTATTATTACAATTGAAAGTGAAAGAACTAAAGTAAACTTTTTGTCAAAGTGTAAGGGTATTAAGTATAATTTAACCATTGTATTTTTTATTTAACAATTTTTGTTACTAATATTTTTTGAATACAAATTTTCACCAAAGGTAATTTTATTTTTATTTTTTAACAAAGAGCTTGTCTTCTGTTTTAATGGACTAGACTGTGTCCTAGAGCATTGTGAGGCTCGTTACAGTCTTATTTCGATAATTTGAATGATTAATTTTAAAAAATTTTATATATAAATCATCTATCAAAAACAATTAGATTAATTTCAACCATCAAAAACACATTATTTTATTATTTAAAAAATTGAATGATATACTTTTAAAATCATATTTGTCGTTCATTATTTGAAGACAAATATAATAAAACCATATATATATTGTAGTTGGATTATTTTAATCAAATTTTTTTGAATAATCTACATATAGAAATCTATAAAATAAATTATTCAAATAATCAGAATAATATAGATCACATAAAACTAGACCTTTTTTTTTTTTTGGACATTTTTTTCAAGAATGTTAGAGGATCAGGACCAACTGGTCCAATAGTCATATGTGCTTGTCAAGAGTGTGGTTGTGGTTCAATTCTCTCTTAGTGTAACTTTCGTGTATAAAATATATGTTAGAAATTAATAATTTAAATTTCTGAATTCTTTTAAAATTATATATTAATAAGTTAGACTTTATATGTTTAGTGTGTATTGAATCTGAGATCCATAAATACATTTTCAAATACCAAATTGTACTCACTAGGTCAATCCCTTGAGGTTGGATTGATCTTTGAGATTAGTCAAGGTGCACATAAATTGATTTGAACACTTAATTATAAAAAATTAAAAATTAAAAAAATTAAAAATTAAAAATAGACACATGCTATGTTGTTGCAGGTAAAACTAGGGTGGACATTTTAAAGATATTGAATTTTCTTACCAAATAGAAAGAGAGTCCAAGGCAATCTCAGGATCTTCAAGTAACCCAGCAATCAAAACAAGAATCTGATAATACCAAGTCTCCAAACACAGCATAACCCCAGAAGCAGCAGACAGTTTCAAGAAATCCCACAGCCCAGAAAATGCCAGCAAACTGAACCCACTCCATGTCTCCTTGCACCTACTACTCATCAATATATACACAAATTGAGCCACCACCACAATCCACCATGACAAACTCAACACCAGTGAAGCACCCAACAATCCCCAACCCAACTTGTACACCACGAGCCACGTCACAATCAAGTGAAATACTAGTGTGACCGCGGAGATTATGGCACTCGGGGCTACAATGCTCTGCGCTTGTAAGAATTTTTGAATGGGGAAGTTGGCGGCGTATGCGAAGATTTGTGGGATGAGACCGTATACGAATATGGCAGCTGCAGACGCTATTTCAGACGATTCGCCGAGCAAGAGGAGGAGGGGCTTAGAGAATATGTAGATGAATGTGAGTGGAATGCCTGTTGCCATGAGGAGGATTGTTGATCTTTGTAAATATATGCCTAGCATTCCATACTTGTGAGCTCCATAGGCTTGGCCACATAGTGTCTCCACTGCACTTCCCATTCCAAGCTGAAACATGTATTATCATGTATACATTTGTTAATTTATGTTGTATATACCATTTTAATGTTTGTGTATGATCTTAACATATATGTACATACTTATGTGTATATACGGCATGTATGTTTATAAAATTATTATTGATTTTTGGTAATTCATTTTTTTATGTCTATGTCACA